GTGGAGCATTGGGTGGAGCATCAGGTGATTTAAAATGATTGGATGACTCCTGCTCTCATCTCTTACATCCTGTTTTTACTTTTCTCTCTTCTCAGTCACTTCTTCCATCTTTTCTTCCTTCCTCTCTCCTCGGTTTCAACCTCAAACTTTCCTTCCTTCTCCCTCTTCTCCTCCTCCTTCCTGCTGCTCCTCCTTCTCCGCACTCTCCTCCTCCTGCTTCTCCCTCCAGCTCCTCCTCCCTGCCCCTCCACCTCCTTCTCCCTCCCTCCCCCCCTGCTCCTCCTGTTCCTTAGGTGAGCTGATGATTGGGCGGCAGGTTGGAGGAGGGCTTCAGGAATCACATGGTTTACGTTTGCAGCTCAGCCAGACGCCATTTTGGAGGAAAGTTTGGGATTTGTGAGAGCTGGAAGCTGCAGGAGAGGAGCAGGAGGAGGTGGAAGGAGAAAGCAGGAGGAAGTTGGCCACGCATGCAGCTCTCAGGCTGCGCCTCTCCGGGCTCTGAAGCGATCGGGCCGGTTCCGGATCAGGCGGTGGGACGGAGTTAGGAGAACCTCCTCCGGGCTGGACTCTGAAGTTTGTCCCGGGGTTTTCTGGAAGGAGGTGCGGAGCTCCGGAGCGGCTCGGTCTCCTCCTGTGCAGCCGGAGCAGCAGCCGGAGCGGCGGGCAGGGCTGGGTGTGTTTTATCGCAGAGCCTCCTTCCAGCGGTCAGTCTGAGCGCTGCTCCCCGGCCACTGCAGCCTCTGAGGCGGGGAAGTGTATCTGGGAGGGTCGGAGTCTCCCGGAGCTCCCCTCCCCCTCCTGTGCGGCTGGGTCCCGGTCCGGGACCGGCTCGCTGCTGGGTGGATCTGTCGGAAGTTTGTCCGCTGTGAACTTGCTGTCGTCGTGGAAACATTTCTAGCGGGTTTACTGGATTTTACGGCGGGAGAACAAGTGGAAACCTGCCCAGTGAGGAGGGTGTATGTGTCACTCTGAGCCCCGAACCGAACCGAGCCCAGTCCGAACATGCCCGTCAGGAAGAAAGGTAAGCCGCTTTCACTTCTCCTCTGGAAGCTAAGGCGGCTACACGGCGCTGAAGTCAGTGTCAGGATGGTAGCTCCTGTTAAAGGGCTGTTCCCACTTTTTATTCACTCTGGATTTATCAGCTCTTCCCTTTAGGAAAACAATCTGATGGCGTTAATTAGCACAATAGAGTCACAGAGTCTATTTAGCCTTTGTTATGATTCAATTCAGTTTATTTATATAGCACCAACATGTCATCTCAACTTTACAGCTCACCAGATCATCCCGTCAGATTGATTCAAAGTTTTCTATCTAAGGAAAACTCATTGACTCTTCAGCAATCCCTCACACTAAGCATGCTTGTAGCGACAGTGGAGAGGAAAAACTCCCTTTGAACAGGAGGAAACCTGCAAGC